GGAAGCCCTATGTTGAGCCCAACATCACCGTCAACAGCCAAAAAACTCAATGTAGTGAACCACTTCACCTACCTGGCAGTACACTATCACAGAGCGTCACCATTCACGACGAGGTGAACCTCCGTATTGCCAGAGCCAGTGCAACCTTTGGCACACTGTATGCCAACGTCTGGAATAAAAGAGGCATCAGCATCATGACCAAAGTAAAGGTCTACAGGCAGTTGTGCTCCCCACACTATTCTACGCATGTGAAACAGCAAGGACAGCGATCCCACAGAGAACCAGAAGAAAGGCTTCAAAGACAGTTTGAAAGCTGCATTGAAAGCGTTCAGCATAAATCCTAATTTATGGGAGCCAAACAGCTAGCGATCGAGTCATTTAGTGTTTCTATCTGCACAAAGGCTCCAAGCTGTGCGAATCTAGCAGGACAGCAGCTGCAGAGCTGAAGAGGCAAGTTAGAAAAGCACGCGCCAGCAACTTTCCAGGAGATGTCCCACCCATACTTTGTCCCTTCTGCAACCGAACCTTCCGTGCAAGAATTGGCCTTATCGGCCACCTGCGCACACACAGAACAGAATGAGCTCCTCCAACTCACGGATGACTAGAGTGGTCTCCGTCGATTTGACGGACAAACAACACACTGCAGAGTCATTATGAAAGCGTGCCTGACCATAATTTCATAAACAACACTAGCTCGAAACACCTGGTTCACAAATATATCCAAATATCCAAATTACTCTATAAATGTGCCACTTAATTTCACTTTTAACAGTGCAGGGCGCAATTGTTGTAGATGTATCTGTATTCTTGTACATATGATATATATATATATATATATATATATATATATATATATATATATATATATATATATATATATATATATATATATATATATATATATGTGTGTGTGTGTGTGTGTGTGTGTGTTCTTTTATGTTTACAGTGTTTTACTTTATATCCGTATTTTAATTTAGATGTATGGACTATGAAGTTTGAAATAAACTATTCTTATCTCTTATATCCATATCTTTAATTAGTAAACAATAATAGCTGAAAAGGTCACACCATAGCCTCAAGTTGAGAAGCTTGCCTTTCAGGGCCAATTTACGAAACTGCTCTGCTACCCTAGCATTTTTACGGTGTCACTCCCAATCGAAATCAACCACTTGTAACAATGTTACTTCTTGAACCATGTTAAACACATGGAACTCTATTGCGTATAGAATATGATTTAAGACCATTAGGGCTGCCGTATACTACTGACCTTTTGGCGCCCAATTTGAGGTCGTCTCTTCGTCTGGCATGGTGGATTCATGTATGCAAATAAGAGTCCTCAGTCAAAATATTGCAGCCTTGTGTCTTCAGTCCAACTTACAATGTTCGATTGTTAAGAGACGCCCACCACGTAGGTAATGTATGACAAGAGAAAGAGGTCAATTACAAATATGCATATTTGCCAAAGGTATAATGAAACTAGATTTCAGAAATGTTCCACCCTTTCTATGTCAAATAGGAATACAATGAATTAACATATCATTCGTAATTTTGTCGTTTATGCATTGAAGCTCTCGAAAGATCAGAAGTTATTAGGAGTGCAGTCTTGAAATTTTGAGGGTTGGCGGAAACACTGGACGCGAATATGCATATTTATATTGTGGCATATATTGACAACTCTAACGTCAACTATTGACGTCACGAAATTTTTGCCAGACCCCCTTAAGTGACGTCATAAATGTTATCCCCTTCCCTTTTCCCCCATTTGTCTGTAACATTGAACAGCAAATGTAATGTAAATCAGTTAACTATAAAGACAAAACAACAATCTTTTATGTAATACGTCTTTAAATAATCAGGCTTTTACAAGAACTGTTTGGCTATTTATAAGTTTATAAAATTATTTTAAATTTTTTATTAATTTTAAACAAAAAATAAATCAAATGTAAATTAAACACATTACTCACTGCTGTTATTACCAACATAAAGGTTTCAACAAAAAAACCCCCAAAAATCTAAGGTTTAAATGTTGAAATATTTGTAAATGAATTACTTCACTTCATATTTATCATTATCACAAGGCAAATGAAAATGCCTCTTCATTGAACAAACAAGAAATCCGTTTGTTTCTAGATTAACATTGTTTATTGGAGTAGATATTCCCTCTAAATCACGCTCGTCCTCGTCAGTCCAATCTACACTTTCTCCATTCTCCGCATTTGCTAGTATGACCATTTTGCGTTTTCTTCTGGCGCGACTCTTATTGGTGTGATGTTCTTCGATGGAATTACTATTTGTTTGTGAGGGACTGAGTGACGGCGCATCGTGACCAGAGAGTTGAAGTACACGTGGCATATCTTGTAATATCTTGCACATCTGTCTCTCAATCAGCACAGATTAAAATGAAGAGTAATAAATATTGTAGGGAATTGTCCGAAATGTGTTTGCTGACCGAGGTAGAATGTCTTTTTTATTTTTTAAACTTTGAGTTGCAAAAAAGGGTGGAAATTGGAGGAAGGCTCGATCCGTTGCTCATTCTGGAACTTTCAAGTCCTTCACATGTTGGAACAAGGAGGAGGAAGAAATCTGTCTTTTATCACGCTGAAATAGGAGCTTCCTGCTTTTGAACATCACGTTTTTGTTACACACAATACGAAGCAAGTATTGGCTTGAATGGAATCGGTGTCACACCAGTTTTGATTCTGCACAATATATCATGTTTCAAGAACTCTGAATTTTATGGATTCTTTTATTCAGCAATTTGGACAATCGTCTGTAGTCAACTGTGACCACATTTAGGCGAGCGTTTTCCCGGCAGATTCAAAGTTTTTCTTCTCTAACTCAATGTCAATTGTCTTACCTGGTTCGTCAAAATGGCTGGCATAATTATTATGAAGTATTATTAATCCACTCATTTCCCTGCTCAGTGGTGCCGTCTTTCTCTTTACTTTGTTTAAAGCATTTCGTCTCGGAGCATTTTGTTCCAACGAAGACAGAGTCAAGATCATGTTTAAAGAAATGGAGAATGGCAACCTTAGTGACTTTTTGATACCGTAGGTTTTCATGCGGCCCACCATCAACAGTAAACACGAGAATCGGTTTGACCAATTTATCAATACCAGTTCTAATTATGGTATCGAACTGTCAGACACAGCAACTTTTCAAAGTCGAATCCATGGCTGAGTGCTGTTGATAAGGGGTGTTTTCCAGATCAGATGGCTATAAAAGTTGGGCCAGAAAAGCCATCAGCGTCTCAGTTTCCAAGACGGTCGCGACAGATCTCGATACAGAGTATAAGCCTGTACCTGACAGCAACTACACAGCCATGATGAGGAAGGCTTTCTTTATACTCAACGTGCATTAGCAGTGGGCTCTGCTTATTGGCAGCGACCAGATCAATTGGGACGCAGCATTTATCGTACAGCATGATAAAACAAGCCTCATCCGGTCAAAGCAGAGAGTTCTTTTTTGTTTATCTTTTAACTATAAGTTCTGCCCATTTGAAAGTAGATGTAGTTGTTGTTTCTAATTTCGGACTTAAAAATGTAATTGGACAGTAGCATTTCTCGGAGTAGCCAAATGGTTAGTAGAAGGCAATGTTTCAGAAGTAATGATATTTAAAGACATCACTCGGTTGTTCATTTGACTCTAAATTATCCTGAGTAGAAACTTATTTTGAAAGCTAATGGTGCTTGTTTTGTACATACGTTAAGAAGTAATTCGTAACGGAGATCGGCTTGAGCTATGGCATGTCATTATTTAAAGCGAGTGTGAGTCATGTCTAATTTTGGATACGTTTTGACCTGGGTACGTTTCGGTTTGGGTACATTTTGGCCTGTTCTTGCGTATGGTTATATTATTTGCTATCCTAATTAGAAGGTGTGGTTATTTCTGCTCTGATTATAGGTTAATTGCTACAGTACACAGTAAAATGAATTCAAAGATTGTTTGGGAATATTCCCCCGCATTCGTTGACACCAAATATCCGATTCAACGCGCATTTAGATCTAAACTCCTCAGCCTTTAGAAAAAGCATAATATGTACTTTATTTTCATATTCTTATAATTATTTATTTATTCTTGCAGGAAATGAAAGGCACTGGCGTTAGCGTTCAACCTATGGCTCGGGAATAAAATCGGGGATAAAAGAGTAATCGGATCAACCAAAGAGAAAACGAATTTGTATTGACTCATAACCTACAATTTGCACGTTGGAAATACAACATGTGAAACCTTTTTTGTGTAATTATATAGAAGCAAGAGAAGAATATCAGGGAAGGTTATACAGTTAGAGGAGCAATCCACTTATGATCTCCAACAGAAAGGATATTTATGGTTCCCAGCTGGACGTTTATACTGATATGCTCGTACATTTAATGTACAAAAATAAATTCCATGCACCAATCAATATTATAACGGAATCTTTAAAAAAAAATATTTCATGGAATATATTTTATACACAACATCACTCTATTCACTTTGACAAAATGGAATTTAAAGATATTTTTAAAATGTTACATACCAACTTTTTAGAATAATAAATTCCTTTACAAAAAAATTTCCCAAAGAGTACAATTTACATGCCTTGCTTTAATATCAACTTGTTACAATGACGTGTGCCATTAGAAAGAAAAATAGCAGTGAAAATGTTCATATTTAAAAAAGATGCTTAACAATTTCTTTTCTTTTTGTCTGAAATGACCATGAAATGTATAAAATAAATTATTTTGTTATGTTCGATGCTTTTTATGATTTGTGATATGGGTTAGTTGGTATTGATTATATATTATAATACATACATACATACATACATACATACATACATACATACATACATACATACATACATACATACATACATACATAATTGCTTCAATTTGTAAGATTGCTGGCATATATCTAAATTGAAGACATACCTTGCTGTGATTATATGTCCTTTGTATCTCGTTATAAAAACTTATATGGCTGTTTTCTCTAATTCTTTTAACACGAGGACCGCTCCGGTGGCCTAATGGTTAGAGCGTCCGCCCAGGATGCGGGAGGTCGTGGGTTCGAACCCAGGCATTGTCATATCAAAGACTTTTTAAAATATTACTATCATGGTTACTCACTAGGCGCTCAAAATTAAGGGGTTAGTGTTAGGACTGGTCAGTCTGGTGTTAGGATAATGTGACTAGGTGGGACATGTTGCTAAATGTTTGCAGCATGGTGCCCCAGTGCTATACATAACTTTAAACTGTCACTCTGCAGACACCGTAGCAATATGACTGAAAAATTGTTAAAGCTACGTTATAAATCTAAATCAAACACTAAATCACTTTGATATGAAAACCGTTTGAAGAACGTTTCAGTTTTCATAGATGGAATATAGAATGCGGACAAAGAATTTAACCGTCTGGTTAAACAGGTTTCTATTTACGTGCTGAGGTTTGTAATCGCTCCGGTGACCTAAGTGTTTAGAGTGTCTGCCTTGGATCTCGAGATAGTGGATTCGAACCACGACCGAGTTATAAAATGACGTCTAGCAATTGAAATTGCAGCTGCCTCGCTTGGCGCTCAGGATTAAGAGGCTAGTGTTAGGAAATGTCGGCCTAGTGTCGATATACATGACTGCGACATGATCTCACAGTGTTAGACATCACTATAAACTAACACATAGGAGACATAGTAGCTAGACGGCTAAAATTGTTAAAGCTGCGTTAAAAATCTAACACACACGTGCTAAATTTCACAAAATCTAAGAATATTATTTTTCAATTTTCTTTTGCTATCTTTAAACAAAACTTGCTAATTTAAATTTAAGTAAAGTCAAATCTGACAGAATATGATGGGTGCAAAAGGTGTAAAAACATGTATAAATGGTACTTCATTTCTCTTAAATATTCTTTACAATATGACTTTAAAAAAGACAGACAAATTTCTATCATAACTTAACAACTCACCGTGTCTTTCTTGTTCATGAATCCTCTCCCGTACAATTAGAGCGGTTTCTCCCAAGGTTTTATTCGCTTAAAATATCTATGGTTCGTTTTAACATTTTTATTGATATAGCATTTCACAATGCATGAGACTGGTGGCCATTTAAGTGTTAAGTGTATGTGTTTTACAGAGCACAAAGAGAACCGATGGTTGGAAGGTATTTTCTTTTTCCTTCACATTGTTTTACAACGTCAGCATAACAGTCTTTTTAGATGCTGACATTGGATATCTCAATCTTACAATGTCACTCAATTTAGAGTATTAGTGTTGATCCAGTCTTGGAGATATTCTCTAAATTATACAAATGCAGCATTGTCATTGATAAGATTTAGGAGTAAAATTTAGCGCTGAAAAAAATGAAAGACGATTTGGTTTGGTTTTTGTTTTACAAACAATATATTAAGGTCATTTAGTGCATAGGTAATTGGGGGTACAGTATCTTATTGAGAGACAAACAACTGCAGCCCGCCCGGGATGAAGTATTTGGGCTGAGTCACCATACCTGAGGTATGATGCTTGTATTTTTTTTTTTCATTCTTCCGTCCCTTTTGACCGATGCACCGGCATATTATCTCCTAGATATATGGATGTTTTGTCTTGGACGTGCTTGACAACAAGGAGTCAACAAGGTTGTTGCTATACTGAGCACTTTAAGTTTTAGCTGCAAGCCTGATCACACAGTAGTAGGGGAAAATGAGGGTTTCGGCCCACTTTATCTTTTTGCCCTCCAAACAAGTATAAATTATAGTCCTAAATTATCCCCCACCCCTTTTTCCAAAATAGTGAAATGAGGGTTTTGACCCACCGCCACCCTCCCCGACCCCCACCCCCTCCCCCACCCCCGCCAAACCCTCATTTCACTATTTTGGAAAAAGGGGTGGGGGATAATTTAGGACTATAATTTATACTTGTTTGGAGGGAAAAAAATAAAGTGTGATGAAACCCTCATTTTCCCCTACTACTACTATGTAGACAGGTATTTTGTAACCAGACAAAACAACAGGTGTTGGAATGCGATAAGCTCTGTCAACAGAAGTGACGAATTTGTTAGAACAGCGTATGTGTGGAATATGATTATTCTAAAGACGGCAAATAGGTTTTACCACAAATTTTTTATCAGATAACAGGATGAAAATTAAACTGTGCATTAGAACGTTTCAGTTAACAAGACGGAAATTAAACTAGCATTAGAATGAAAATGATATTATTTTAGTTATATCTTAAGTTTAGATAAAATTGTATGTTATATCATACATATTTTGATAATCTTTCTCATATTTGCTGATCCTCATGGGTATAATATCTGTTAACATATTGTCAATAATACGAAATTCACGTATTAAATCGTCCATATTATATTTAACTCCTCGTAGGTAAGATCTTATTTGATCAAGTAGTTTTTTGTAAGTTATAATTGATGTTAAGCAGCCGTGCTTTTTTATCAAAATTTTAGGTTCAACTTTTTTACAAGCTGTTGTAAGAGAAACACCAACACCGGATATGATTAACAAAAACGGGTTTAATGATATACCACTTGAAATTATGCCAGAACTAGTCATTAACAAGGGTAGATATGATATTACTCGAAGTATTTTGTTATAATATTTGTAACATTTTTTTACGCACCAAAGTTTTTTGTGATAATATTTGTAGTATTGTATTAGTGCATCAACATCCTGTCCTGGAATATCTTTTGAAATATGATTGAAATCAACTATACTTTTTTTCATTATAATATTTGTTCACATAATCTCAGGCTTGATTAAGTAACTAGTTGAGGTGTTTCAGCCACAAATTCCAGACAATACCAATATGACGCAGCAGTTAATTTTTTGTCATCTGCTATTAGCATAAAAGTTTCTTCAACATCTTTGTTCAACACAATAGACACGGTTCCAGAGAAATTATCAGTTGAGTGACGCCATGGAAATAAGGTAAATATATTAAACTTTGCACTGCTCAACACGGACAATCTATACACACCAGTGACCTCTGCAGTATGTTTGAGAGTGTTATTTTGCGGCGACCAAGTAGACATTCCAGAAGCAACAGTATAGACAATATTTTTAATCTGCTTGTGAGGAATTTTAATCATACTTGTTTTCTCAACAATACTAGGAATTCCACTAATAATATCGTTGAGTTTTGTGTTAATATTATCGAGTGTAATATCAACAGATGGCGGACTTCCAAAAAATTCGTTATTGGTTTTGTTTATGTTTCTACGAAAATTTAAAAACGTGGTTATGTGATTAGTAAAATCAGTTTTGAACTTGGTGATTTCATTGTTGATATCATCAACATATTTCTTTGTTACAGCATCAAAATCAAACTCTGGTGTTCTAAGATTATTGATGCCATTATTGTTCATGTTGAGAAATGCACGCATTATACCGCCATGCATCGACACGTACTTTGATTCCTGATCATCAACATATTTCTTAGTAGCAGCGTCATTATCCTCAGTTGGGTTTCCAAGGTATGTGATCTTGTTCTGGTTCATAGCAATGTTTCCCGTAAATAAATCACCTGCTTTTCTAACATAATCGTTAACTGACCTTCCCGAATCTTCTATCTTACCTTGATTGTTAAAAGTAGCAATATTATTAGCAACTGCAGTAGGATTTCGTACTAGTACATCTGATAGTTGTACATTACTCGTCTTTAATCGTCCTTGTTTGTCCTGGAAAACTACAACTTCATTTGGATCTACACTTGCAACGTTTAACAAATTGTTGATTTCATTTTTGAGCTTATCAAGAGTCGCATACTTGGATAAGTCACCCTGGTAACCTTCTGTTAATAAATCTACTGCTAATGTTCCAAATTTTGTATAGTAGCTCATTATACATACCGTTCTACACAAAATTGTTGGATTAATATAACATAAAATTATACGATGGCGAAGATAATAAACTTTGACACCGAGCGATTGGTGAAGCATAAACATAACAATGAACTTCCAGACTGTCATTATCTTATTGTTGGGCGAACTGGATCTGGTAAAACAAATTTGTTATTAAATCTTTTACTCAATAATAACTTTAACTATGATAAGGTGTATATTTACACCATCAACCCTCAACAAGACAAATACGAGTTACTAAGTGAGTATAATGATAAACTTCGTGATGACCTTGGCATTGGTGATGATATATTTTTGATAAAACAACCAGAAGAACTCGTTCCAGTGAATGAACTCGATTCGTCAGAGCAGAAGATAATCGTCATTGATGATATTCCGCTAAACAATGAGGAAATGAACAAGATTAGATCATATTTTTCACTATCACGTAATAAAAGATGCAATTCTGTTTATCTTGCCCAAGGTTTTTATAATGTTGATAGGTTTATTAGGCGAAATACGGGTTGTTTCATATTATTTCCCAGACTAGATAATGTGGATGTGAGAAATATTGCAAACAAACAATGTGGTGATGTTACAAAAGATAAATTTATCGAATTATATCATCGAGCAACTAAAGATAGATATAGTTTCTTTTTATTTGACAAGCTAGCGCGTGATCCAACCAAGATGTTTCGTTGTTGCCTTGAGACGTTTCTATGATATAATTTTGTAAAGCGTATAAAAATAATGGACAAACATCAACAGAAAATCGAATTACTAAAAAAGTTTCTCGAAACTCGAGCGGCTTTTAAGAAAAAGGTGGAAGAAGCTCGACGTGGACAATTGACTGCTGCAGAAACAACAGCTACGATTTTCAGACCAATAACTGAAGCAATATTAGGTAAACAACCTGAAACTAAACCACTATCAGAAGAAGAACTGAAACAACTGAAAGAAAAAGGTTTGGTTGGAATTGTTAAAGAACAACAAGAAGCAGCTGCTGCAAAAATCATTACTAGATCTGATGAAGACAAAAGAAAACTAGCTGAGTCACTTACAGCAAATATAGCTGATCCTGCTGCAAGACAGGCTGAAACAGATCGATTGATAAACAATCCGCTAGAACTTGAGAGAAGATTAGCAGAGTTAACAACGCAAGGAATAACAAATATTATAACAAATCTATCAGGAGAAATAAAAGATATCAAAGAGGAGCAACAAAGAGTTGGTGAGCTTACTGTAA